GACACAGATAATCTTTCAATTATGGCAGAACCATTTTAGTTTGTTGCATATGTATGAAAAATGCTGCTTAAATTAAAGTGATCTTGTGTCTTGTATGCAATGATTTATAAAACTATAAAGTTCCTTGCCAATGTATTAAGAACCTTTAAACTTTTATTTTTAGCATATATAGACAGATATAGCACTTTTCAGATTTCAGTTTATAAAAAAAAAGATTTAAAAACTACATTTCATTTGGTTTCCACTTCATGAACTTGTACTTTGTGTTGGTCTATCAAAATCTTAGTAAAATACATTGAAGCTTAATTTTGAGCAGTTTAGAAACATGATAAAGTTTAAGAGGTATGAATAATTTATGATCAATACTATCTAAACCGATATCCAAAAGTTATTTACAAGTCTATTGGTTGTGTAACGTGTAAATATCTGACAAGGCATCACCTCAACAACATATTTGACCATAGTAAATTTAAATATAACACACAAACCTGTTTTGTATATATTCCAAGTTACACATTTGTCTCACCTTAGTCTTTAGAATCTGATCCAGCTTAGCTCTAGATTCTGATGGGTCATTCTGTTGATCATGAGGCAGAGACCAGGGAACGACCATCCTAAGACCAATGTTGTTTAAATCAAACTGCAGCTCTACAAAAAAGGCCCAATGTAGAAAGTTAGCTTTTGTTTCAAAACACAAAGTCTACCTCAACAAGGTTGATGACACCTACAACTGACCATTATTGTGAGGGGATTCAATGGCCCTCACATCAATCTCGAACGTTGAATTGACTCCTTCAAAACCCAAACGGGATGGTTCAGGCTCCCACAGGCCGTTGCACTCCTCCCATATGTCCAGGATGTAGGACTTTCCTGCCTCCAGACCTGGAAGAGGCAACTCGTTGTTGAACACACGGCTGCTCTCGATGAGGGAGCTGTTCTCCAGGGAGAGCTTGTATATGTAAGCTACTGCCTGCTGATTAGGGAGGCTAGGCGTCCACACAACTGTGGAATCACTGGCACGAAACCTGAGCTCGGACACACCGCCAGGACCTGATTATTTACAACAAACAAGAATAACAAAATCGCAAAAAGTGAGTTGTGTCACCCGATTATAGAGGGTGGGAATACAATAGAAAGTCAGATGCTCAGATTTGTGTTACCTGTGTGAGCTGTGATTGTCCTGACACTCATGACAACGTTGTCACCACACACCGCCGCCACCTTGGCTTGGTACTTCTGGCATGGCAGAAGCCCAGCCACAGTGTGCATGGTCAAGAGTGTGGTGCCCTTCAGCACCCCCTCATGGTAAACTCTAAACGTGGAGATGGACGAGGTGTTCTTTACCTCCCAGCTTAGAGTGTAATTGTTGGGCGCAAATGAAGTCTGGTGCAAGAAGTAAATGTTGGAGAAATCTGGCAAGAAGACAGATCAGGTTTTCTGACATCAAAATCATAACTTTTATGGAGAACTTTAAACAATACTGATTTTTAAAATGAAAAACCTAGCATTTCCCTAGAAAGTAAGAGATTGGTGACAGTTGTTGAGTTGATGTATAAAACAATCCTAAACACACTGCCAAAGCTATAATGGTAAGGTTTAGATCAAAGTATATCAATATACATGATCTGGTTAAAGTTCAGACTTACCAGAGTTTCCTTCATTCAGGACCATTCTGCTGTAGCGCGACTCCAACCCCAACTGGCAAACAGTCTGCAGGCCAAACTTCAGCCTGACACAGGGTTGCAGGTCGGACAGCGTGAACGTGAAGCCGTCGTCTGTCATCCACAACTCTGTCTCCTCTATGACATGGTCCGTACCATTAAGGTAGAAGACCGTGAGGAGGAAAACAGAGTACTTCAGGTTTTCAGGGCAATCCCACGCCAAGGATATACTGCTGCTGCTCCACGACGTTACTTCGAAATACTTTGGAACATCTGGGTCTAGTGGAGGCGGGGAAAATTTTATGAGCCTGAAATTCCTCAACTTGCATATTAAAACACTGTTTTCAACTGTAAGGTCTACATGTTCATACCTGAAATAGTAGAGAGGCATGTGAAAGAGTAGGTGTCTGCAATCTCCACACAGACCATATAGCGGGTGCAGGGGTCCAAGGCGGTGAAGCGGTAGTGGTCCAGGGTGGTGGTGTCCTCAAAGAAGGGGTTGTAGGATCCCATTTCAGTGTGGTAAAGGGTCACCATGTGAGAGGGGACATCTTCTGGATTGTTCACCAACCAGGACACCAGTAACATGAAGGGACTCCTGGTCTTCAGTTTGATGGGGAAGCGCAATGTATGACCTCAGAGGAGAGAAAATGTTCATTCAAGTGGTTGGCATGCAGAGGTGACATCTAAACTTTTTCACCCCAAAAGCATACTTTATCGCGAAATGTGAAAAACTTCAAGAGGTATTAATATTTGTGAATCATTTTATAAGCTCAACTTTCAAGTCATCATCCTCAAAGTGTTAGTGAAAATTTCTTCATACCAACAGCGAGGAAGAAGTTCTCATCCTGGTGGAGGAACATTATGCCACTTTCACAAGCAAACACCTCAGTAGGTTTGAGCAACTCCAGGAAGCCCTGAAGAACAAATACACAAGTAAATTTTGTCCCGATGGAAGCAGTGTATAACACTGTAACAATGACATTCATCTTTGAACAAAAGTAAGCTTAAATATATGTTAGCAATACCTTGGTCATATTTGCTGGCTGCTCTAAGGGTTTGTGTTTGCCTGTGATTTTGATCATCTTTGTACCTTAGGGTGAAATTGAGAAGGTTCTTACAGGGTACAACTAATTGATTAAAACACACACACACACACACACACACACACACACACACACACACACACACACACACACACACACACACACACACTTCTTACGTGGGCTGATTGTTAGGGTCCATCTCTGAGTAAAGCCTCCATACTGCAATGCAACTTTGTTTTCTACAACTGGAGACACTGTTACAGAGGAAACTCGCCCTGCTTTTCTCATTAGGTTCAGTGAAGTGCCGTTGAGCCACAAGTTTCCATTTTGCCTGAAAGAACAAAAATACTTTAAAAACAAGTCTTTATACTTTGAAGCAATAATTGTTTCCTTTGCAATTCATTTAAAATAAACTTCTGATTTCTTTACATATCCTATTCCAAATACAAAGAATGTTTAAGATGTATAATAGTAAAATTATTTTTCAGGAATTTTGGCTAGATGAAGCTTTAGCTTTGATTTATACTAGCAAAACTATCAAGCATAATTAAATTATAACTACACAATATGATAATTCAGAAATGGTTTAATAGTTGTTGGTCCAACAATTTTAAAGATAAGATGAAATGTGCAAAACATTGTCAATTAATTATAAAGAGGGTTTCAGTGATTATGTAAAGCTAAACATGATGTTTCCCATTGATTTTTAGAAAAGAATACCACTTTAAGCAAACATAATTTATGCTAAATGTAAATAAATTACTGTTTATCAAAAGTGATGAAGCTAAAAGTTGAGAGATCCCCATCTCATTTTCAAATCTATAATTAAGTTCTAGGTTGAATGACAAAAACTCCCAGCAGTAGGAATATAGGCATGTAACAGTAGAAAATATGTACTAAATATATCTTAGAAATCCTATGCAACAACTTTGTTTTTTATGTTCAGTAGTTTAGTTGCATAAAAAGTCTACTTCAATCTAAATAGGATGGGCCCAACGTCTTCTAAATCCAGCCCTGTTTTGTGACATTTAGGAAACGAAAAAATATAAGAAACCTCCTTGTGACGTTTTCACTGCGGATATTTCAACAGCAGTTAAAAGCAACAGCTGAACTGTCACGAGACTGACAAAAGACAACGTTAAAAAAAAAGACCGGTGAGTGCATTTGTTTTTACTACGCTATTTATTTGCTACCGAAATTTCGCTACTCGTTATTTTGTGATAGCGTTATATTTTAATTTATGGCCTATAGTTGGGGAGAATAAAGCTCGTAACAAAATACTGCATAGGAGCACGAGAGCGCTGCTGGCCGACAGTTACTTTTACTGCTGCGTCATAAGTATTTCAGCAGCTAGGAGTTTTACTACAGGTACATTTCTGGTGATTTTTTTTTTACCCATTTAAAGCGTCCTCCGTGTCCAGCCAACAAAGTGACAATAGCATGTCGTAGCACCTTCCTGTATTTAAATAAATGTAAACATTTACCAAGTTATCGTACACATAATTGAACAGAAGAGAGTAGGCCCATACTTACCAAACGAATGAGGCACTAATATGAAAAATATAAAGGAAAATTCCAACGAGTTCCTAAAAGCATTAAAATACATATTAAATAACATAATTAGGCGATGTTTTGGTATTTAAGCTAGCTCTGAATATGAATTTCCTTACATTTTCTTTCTTTTCCGAGTATTTACCAAACTGAGAAGCAGGGAAGGACAGACAGGCTGTTAATAAGAGGCAGGTGTGCAGAGCTATTCCTCACCTGCTCAGGTTTTCTGACGTCACAAAAAATGTTTGAGGAAAAAAAAGGAAATATGTTAACGGAACGGTTCTTTGTACTGCTGTAAATGTCGTTCATAAAAACAACTTTTAATTATAGCCTACGATTTTTTTTTTTTACTTTGTTTTTTGTTTGATTTGGGGTGTTTGCGGTTTTGTGGCATTATTGGTCATTATTATTGTTTAAATATCAGTAAATTAATTGATATAAATCAATATAAAAATTGTAAATATAAAAAAAATTTCACCAAAAAAATCTTCAGCAATTTTCTATAAAAAAGTCTGAATCGTCAAAAATTTTCTAGAAAATCTAAAAATTTCAGATTAAGCTCAGAAATTTTGTAGAAAAAAGTAAAAATGTCTTGAGTTTCAAAAGTTGAAACTGTTTGACCTTTGACACTCAGAAAACATCCAAAAGTCAAAAACCTTTGCCTTTTGAAATGCAGAAATGTTCATGGTTTTTTTCTAGAAAATTTCTGAGATTAATCTCAAAACTTCTGAGTTTTTTTTTTTTTTCCATCTACAATGGCCCTAATAGATTGTCATAAGCTCTTTGTATAAAGTGCAATAAAGAGTGAAGGTGTAACATGACAAAATGAGAATAAGTTTAAACACTTTGAATGTTTTTGTTTATTTGCAAATGACACCTTTTCCTTTCTTCATACAGATGACCCCATGGTGACCCTCCAGTTTTGTGTTGTGCTGCAGGAGACCGATAGATGGCACTGTGTACTTTACTGCAATTTCACTTAAAGCTACACTAAAGGAATCCCCCCACACTGAAAAAGATATCTATAAAATAAAACGAACAGAAACAGAAATGGCTTTTAATAAACTTCCAAACCTTGTTTTGTCATCCATAAGTCCAGAATATTCCCTTTACCTTGGTTGTATGACTGTGATTAGCCTGGATTAAGTAAATGAAAGGCCGGTGGTCTTCTATTAGTGGTCTTGGATTCCATTTGTTAAGAGTTAATTCAGCAGTCAGAGAAGGCACCTTTTGTCTAAAACAGAACCAGGCAAATTATAGTCACGCGCCGCCTGTGAAGAACTCGAGGATCGCCTCTGCCTCATCTCATAATTCAAGTCAAACCATGGTCTAAGCAGCGAGCCATCCAGAGCTATAAGAAGCTCCGTGGTGCGATTATGGAGAGCCAGCAGCGTCTGCTGCTGCTGCTGCTGACTGCAGTTACTTTAAGGCCTTGCCCTGGAGAGCCGAGGGGAAATGATGATGGCGTCGACCCCATCGGCCTTCTGAGAAATATTTATGGCGGGCTGCTGGTGAGGGCTGAACTGTTCATCAGGGACTCTGAGCTTAAAGAGCTGAGGTGCCCAGCGGACCCTGCAGTCACACAGCAAACTGAGGGCAGAGCCGGCGCCGACGGGCCAGTGGCGTTTACCAAAAACGGGCAGATCAAGGGCGTTACTGTGGATAAGGCCCACGTATTCTACGGGGTGCGCTATGCAGACCCTCCAGTCGGTGCCTACCGCTGGAAACCCCCGAGACCTGTGAGCCCGTGGCCTGGGGTCTATGATGCGTCGTTCCCTCGGCCAGCGTGCATGCAGGTCTGCAGTGGATCCAACTCCTCGGAGTGTCCTAAGAAGGTGAGAAACGCAAACATTTTTTGTTCACTGCTGGGGTACTTTAATGGGGTTTTAGTATCTAAATGCATTTTTCATATTCTGAATTTTTTTTGCAAATTTACATAAATTTTATTGGTGGTATATGCAAGTTAGCGGAAAAAAAATGTAAAAAATGTACAGTAAGAAAATTTTTCAAAACTTTTTCCTTATAAAAATCTGCAGTGTGGCACACATTTGTATTCAGATCTCTTTATTTCCCCCAGGTGTGTAAATCTAAGAACCTCCTCAACATGTTTCAGTTTGATTCAAAAATACTTTATTGATCCTAAAAGGAAAGTAAATGTTGTTATATACCATAATTCAAAGTTCTTCAAAAGGTGTGGTAGATTGATGGCTGTGGGCAGGTAGGATGTCCTGTAGCAGTCTGTATTACAGCACATTTGAAGAATCCTCTGACTGAAGCCACATCATTTTTTTAAATGAAGATGATGAAGATGCTCAGTGTTGTCCATCAATATAGTACATAATGTAATATAAATTAACAGTATACACAAAGTTTGCTGTAAAATGTAATGTAATATTTACTATGTATTTATAGCAAATATTTTACAAGAGGCATAAGAGCTAGAAAAAAAACTACAAGAAGAAAGACGGAAAAAGTAGGAAGAAAGAGTGGACAGAAGGAATACATGTGAATTTGTGTTTATTTTAAAGTGCAGTCATTTGCTAGCATAGCAAGAGCTAAATGACCTGCGTCCCCAACAGGTCAGCGAGGACTGCCTCTACCTCAACATCTTTGTGCCTCTGGATCTCAACTTCACCTCCCCTCTGAGGCGCCCCCTGCCTGTCATGGTGTGGATCCACGGGGGCGACTTCATAGCTGGCTCGGCCTCCAAGCCTGTGTATGACGGACGCTTCATCAGCAACTTCACTCGCACGGTTGTTGTGAACGTGGAGTACCGGCTAGGTGAGAAAAACTGGTGGTTTTTTAGCACAAAATGTTTCTCCAGAAAGGTGCAACACTGTGTGAGCGACAGAAAGCAGGAGAAATGAGTGTTTAATTGGATTAAATGGTGTTCCAGCAGGCTGGAAATGGGGACATGTGATTGGTGCTTTGGAATTCAGAGGAAGTGAGCGTCTTGCCTAAGTTGATTGTGTTGTTTTTTTTTTGTTTTGTTTTTTTGTTTGCTGATGATGCGAACTGGTCTCTGGTGGAAGGGGCATTTGGATTCCTGGTGTCGGGTAAAGATCCTCTGTCCTCCGCTACGGGGAATTACGGGATCCTGGACCAGCAGGCGGCGCTCTTCTGGGTGCAGCAGAACATCGCAGCATTTGGGGGCGACCCCAGCAAGGCAAGCAAAAATGCACACGAGCACACATCAATGGCTGCGTTGGATAGCCTTCCAACATAAAATATTCGCAACATTTAGTGCACTGGAATGCAGCAAGTGGTTTGTGGGTGGTAAGTCATCAACAAAACACTTGTCTTTTCCAGCAGCCATTGTACAGCAGTAAGACCAGCTGACCAAACGTGCTGGAGCTCCACTAGGGTTGCTAGGTGACAGTGTGGCTTAAAAGTTGGGAGTTTTCCAACTTGTTTTCCAGACATCATAAAAACATCTAGATTGTTTTTTTTTTCCAGCATTTGGGTTGTTTTTTTAGAAGCAGTTGAACAAAGACGTTCAAAACATGAACTTTGCATAATAGGTCCCCGTTAAAAAACAAATACCCTCTCAAAATCTGAAATTGGCTGAAAACTAAACACAGCATATACATTTGTTGCGGATTTTCTTATCCCTATAACAGTCTCGCCTCTTTTTGTGGTTAAGGTTACGATATTTGGAGAGAGTGCCGGCGCTCAGTCAGTGAGTCTTCACTTGATGATCCACAGCAGCAAACCTCTGTTCAAACAGGCCGTCCTGCAGAGCCTGCCCTTTTCCATTCCACTCAAGACCAGGTAGGAAACAAACATCTCGAGGTGCTCTAAAAACAGAATCTCATGCCTTCGCACTCGCTCAAAGGACTCCACGTTGCACCTAGCCCTCTCGGCGTCTTTGGCACGCCTCCGGATAACTTCAAGCTGCGGACTAATTTAGTTAGTTTTTTCCCCCCGTCTCTTTCCCAGACACGACGCCCTGAGGCTGGGGAAAGACTTTGCTAAAGAGACCAACTGCTCGGCGAGCGACTTTGTCTGCCTGCTGTCTCTCGCTCCGCAGGCCGTCCTGGCTGCACAGATGAAAACAAGTAGGGCGCCACAAACCCCCACCCACCCACCACCCAAATTTAGAGCTGCCCACACACTTACATAAGTCAGACAGTAGGACGCAGCGTGTCTATCTGTGGAAGATGATGAAAAGCTTTTATTTATCTTGAGTTAGAGGAAGACAAAATGGGTTAAAGCGAACTTTTAGCCCCTAAAGGAGCTGTTTGATGGGTTTTACTGCCTCACAGCAGAAAATGAATGTCATCTATCTAAGGTTGGCAGGTTTATTGATCAGTATCTTTAAATCCGGGATTCTGCTCTGAGAGTTGGTTTTCACTTTTACTTTATACTAAAAAAAAATAGAGAGAAAACTCTCCTTTTTATTAGCCACTTTAACTGTTTTTTCCAAATTCATAACCACGCAAGTGTTGCTGGGGTCTTTGTAAAAACATGTTTCTTGTTATATCAGTTATCTTGTTCTATTTATTTGGAAATGCAGAGAGTTCTAAAATAACTGATGATTAGTTGATTATTTTTGGAGGGTCAAAATGTCAATATTGTGGTAGTTCAATGATATGTGGAAGATTTTAGTAGAACGGGAAAATATGCAGCATAAGTCATGAGATTGTTATGAGCAAAGTGGTAAGTTGAACCATTTGTTTTATTGTTGATGTAGCTTAAAAGAGGCTGTAAGAAAACATCTTTAAAACCCAGTTAACTCATACGCAGCCATCTGATTGGTTGGTCAGACGTCCAATCAGACCAGTAGATTTGTCATTGTTTATTTAATTTGTCAGTAGTGAATAAATATTGGTGAATAGTAATGAACTTGATTGATTTTGGTAATCAGGTTTCTCCAAGAAATATTTTGTCTTTGGTTCAATATGTAATAATTATCAGTTCCTGCTAAGATTGGGTGATAAATCAATATTACCAATAAAATTTTCTGTGTGGAAAATCAAGATTTATTTTCTGCCCGTGTACTCGTTGGGCTTCCGTAGTTCAGAGTGATGAAGGCAGCCAATTTTTTTTTTTTTTTTTTTTTTTACAGGCATGTCGTACAGTTTATAATCAATGGGATTTGGTATTATAAAAGCAAGTTTTGGGAAATATTTTCTGTCATTTCTCATTTCAAAATCAAGAAAATAAATTGAATGAAATTGGAAATCAAATTTGGTATGAAAAATAAATCAGATTTTATTTTCGCCCAACTATACCTCCTGCTAATAAAAATAATCTCTTGTCTTTAATTCAGAACAGTAATGTAATTAGTTAGCTTAATGTGCCTTATCTTTAAGCTCCTTCCTCCGTTTTGAAAAGCTCACTTCCAAATCACTATGATGTTCTTTCCGTTCGCAGGCTCCAAGGTCGTGAACCCGTTCAGGTTCCTGGAGGTTTTCGAGACGTGGGGCCCGCACATCGACGGACAGCTGATTACAGAGCAGGCCATCACCGCCTTCCAGAAGGGCAACTGGCAAAAAGAGAAGGCGTTGCTGCTCGGTGAGACAACAGCAGCAGCAGCAAATTCTAATGTCTTATTATTTTTCATCCTGCTTCCTACTGGACTCCCACAGGTCCTCATTAAAAATCTGTCGATTGCAAGGAACTCTAAAGTCAGTGATATTCTTTTGGAGCGACAGCGCCGCAACGTTTGTTCCTTTGGACTGTTTTCTGCCCCGCAGGAACGACCTCTGAAGAAGGAGTACTATTCGTTTACGGCGTCTTCGCCAAGCCGGTGTCTGTTGTGGAGGCCACCGTGTACATCGCAGCCATCTTTAAGCAGCACTCTCTGAAGATCCTCCACAAATACCTGCCACTCTACAAGGAGGCTGACCGCAGAAACATGCTGACACAGGTAGATGAAGCTCAGCTAAATCCTCTCCTTTAGCCGGGTTCAGTAGGAAACTGGCACACTTAGAGAAACCTAACAGATTTAACACTGTCAAACAAACCTAATTATTTGAAAAACCTGTTCACCTCCTTGCCTGTAGTGGCGCTGCACCACTGAAGGAAACAACACAAACACCTTGTTGGATTTCTACCTCTTTTAGAAATCCTATAAGAGGTTGTAGGATTTCTCCATCAGCCATTTCTCTAGCTAATATTTGACTCTTGTTTGTTTTTGTTGTATTTACCCAGAATGCCCTGCGCTGTAATCTGCTTCCTACTTTTGGAGTGGTCTCTGGTCCACTTGCATCCATATGTACATTCGAACCACACCAAAGTTCACTTCAACCAAACCAAAACCTCGGTAATTAGGCGGACCAGAGTTCAAGTGTTTTGCTCCACATCAGAGTTTGGTTGCGTATTCACACCTCCCCAAATAAACCAAACTTTCTAGGTAAAGAGCCTGGAGTTGGATTAAAGCGGCCTAAACGGGGCTGATGTGAAGGCACCCTTAGAAACTCTTGGAACCACAAAGAAACCAGCAGAATGAAAACATAAAAAGATGCTGAACTGTGCCTTGCAAATGTTTAAATGTCTTGAAAATCTTTGCATTTTAATCCCAAACGTCAGTGTATTGGGATTTTATACAACCCAAAGTGATGCAGGCTGATTGTGTCACAGCACATGATGAACCTCCATCCCCGTCTTCTTCCTAAGAAAAAAACAGTGATCAGTTGTTCTCGCTTGCTGCTAAAGTAAAAACTTACAGCATTCTCCAGCAGTCAGCAGTTCAGACTGTCTGAAAATGGCCTGCAGTGGGCGCTGTAGCTCCAGCTTCGCCGCTCCACCATCTCTAACCTTGAGTGACAGGCTGTGCTTTTCCCCCCTCTCCATCATTTGCATGGATGAAGCACGCAGACCACCTGAAGCCAGGACGGTTGTCTGCTTAAGATGCAACCCTGACTGCTGCGCTAAACAGAGACTCCATTCTCATGCGGGTCCTTGATGTCGGGTGGGATCAGCTGGGGAATCACAGATCAAGACCGAGGCCTCACCAGAAGAGGAAGCACTCACTGTCACTACCAGAGGAGAGTTGGATAAAGAGACAACGTTTCAGAAGCGTCCAAAGTCTGTGAAATTAGCAGCTTTTATTCAAGTATTTTCAACTCAGATTATTTATGTCATAGATTGCACAGCAAAATATCCATATTCTTTAGCAATCACCCTTTTTTGATTGGTCAGACGTTTTAAGAACAGATTTTTATTTTGCTTTCATTAGGCGTACAAATAAATAAAATCAACCGAAAACAAAAGCACTCAATCTGTGTGTAATGTAGCTACTTAATGAGTTTCACTTTTTGAACTGAATTAATGAAATGTGTTGTATCTATTCCAATTTATTGAGATGTACTTGTTATTCTAGATTTACAATCAGAAGTCTAGACTGCGACACAAACATTGAGTTTTGCCGTTTCGTCATTTTTAAAAAATAGTGCGCTGGAAAAGAATTCAAAATATTTGATCCAAGTCAATTACCTTAACAAAGCAAACCTGTCATTAATAACAGCAAGCTCTGCTCTGGTGGCAACACAGTATTGTAGCACCCATTTCCACCCATTTATTAAAAAAATACATTTGTTGATTGAGACATTGGGGAGCCTCAAAATTCACACACAAATGCAGCGCAACTCACAGGCCAGAAGCAGCTTGTAAATCAAGATATATTTGTGTTTGCATCAAAAATACAAGTGTGAATCTCGTTCTGTGGATTTATGAATTATGAGATTTAGTTCCACAGAAGTTAGTCTCAAAACTCCTTGTGCACTCGTAACCGGATCTGTGCGTGAATACAGTTTTGTCTGTGTGTATCAGGCGACTGGTGCTACTTATTTAAAATTTGTATGTGTAGAAGAAAGTTTGAATTTGTAATTATCAGATTTGTGAGGTCGAAGTTAAAAAATCTGTGTGTAGAAATGTAACATTTGCAGAAATTGTAATTACGTGTGTGCACTTTTGTATTTGTAATTTCTTCATATTTGTGAATGCATTTGATCACATATTTACAAGTACTCGGAGTTGGGCGCAAATATTCTTTTGACGGTTTACAAAGATGCTTACACGGATTACAACTCCAGTATTACACACACAGGCATTTTGAGACTATTTTCACTCCATAGTGTCTGTCCATCAATCCCACTGGCAGTCGCAGCAGGACATAACTTCAGAAAGTTACTAGTAAGAGCTAATGATTCTCGTCATAAAGGAGTTTAGGCTGTAATCTTGAATTAAATATGGCATTATGTATTTTGTATATATGTGTTGGGTTGCTTAATTTCTTACAAACCAACATCGCTACCTCTCAGCCTTATGTCTTCTTTAATCACATCTCCTCCCCTATGTGGGTTGGTATTCCATCATTTTCTGTGTAAGAAGCAGTGAGATGGTCATGTCTCATCTGCGCATATAAGCCCAGTCTGTGTGATGGGCCTTGATGTTCTCTAGCTTTAAGGCTCAGACAGAGCCAGTTTTCCACTGGAAGAAGTTTTGTTTCTCAGAAAGACGAGACTTCTATCTCAAAGCAGCATACTTTATGTCTTCAGAGACCCGAGCACATCAATTAAACATGATTTCCGTACCAAAATGATGCCCCGACTTTACACAGCCCGGCAAAATATGCATTTCTATTATTCAGTCACACTTGGCTGGTCAGGAAGGACGCTGGAGCTGCAGCCAGAGCTGGCCCCACTGCATACTCCTCATGTTAATGTGAGTAAAGGACACTTCTCCACAGGAACTGGGGTCAGCACACCCACTTGCCAGAATATGGATTTGAACGCCATGAACCAAGTGTGATGCACTTTAAAAACTAGCTCTACATCATTAGACATATTTTATTCCTGTACATGTGATCTTGCCTAATTTTGACTGCAGCACCTGATTTGAGTAATGGGATGCTCTTTATGTAATACTTAGAAACGATTTCCAAATGATATTTAAAATAAAAGTTGAGAAGGGGAAGGTAATGGAGGTAGCCTGCAAACGTTGAATCCAACACAAAAACTAGCAAACATGCCACATAACATTTTGCCTGAAAAAAAGTTTGCACAAGTAAACCTTTGGAGCTCTACCAGTTACAATAGGTCCCTTGGTAAGGTTTTCCTTCCACTGCACAATAAGTCATTGCAATGTTGGTCAATTTCAGAAAATTCAATTAAAATGCTTTGAAGTTGTAATTGTAGTACACTGTCTGTTGGCATGGATTAGAAGTTTTTTGTGCGAGAGTCACTGCCACTCGAAGGCAGAGGGGGAGTTGTTACATAACGCCGCATACCCACTTGATATCAGCATTCAGGTGCAGAATGTGCCTGTTCTGAGTTATTACATTTCATCTTGAGACAGTTTGGAGGAGACATGAGCCTAATATGAGAAAAGAGAGAGGGTGTATGTTTGTGTGTGTGTGTGTGTAGGTTTGTTTGTTTTGTTTTTTTGTTTTGTTTTTTTACTTTTTACAGGAAGCCTGTTTGTGTTCAGGTGTGAGATGTGCAGCTGTGTGGGCGCAAGTCGAACACTGCCCAAAAAAACACACTGGTTTCCAGGTAACAGGCAGGAGAGAGGAAGTCTGGTTTCCACTTCTGTTGCTTTCCTTTAGGCAAGAGGGAACACCCGATTTTTTATTTTTATTTTTTTATTTCTCATCTCTCTGCCCCAAGCTCGTCTTCCCGTAGAAATCCCACTAATTAGTTCTGCTCACACTGTAGTCTGTGGGACCTTTAAAGAGCAGTGATGCTTAAACTGATGGACTTTTTTTTTTTTTTTTGCCAGATGCTTTAATAATCAATAGATGAATGCGGGGCGTTTTATTCCCCAACTTGAAACTGATCACAATATGCAACAAGCAAAATGAGAAATTAAAACCCTGAAATACGGCCAAACTATATTTTTAATTATGGATTTGTTACCATTTTAATTACGGCTGTAAAACAGTAAAATGAAGAGCAAATATTTTTGCATATCTTCAAATAAAATGCACAAAGTAAATAAATATTTAGCTGAAACTGGACATTTGCTGCAAAGCTCAAAAGTAGTCGTACCAATGATGGATTGAGACTTAAAGAAATTTTTCAACTTAACATGTTTATTTTGTATAAAATATGACACTGTGCCATAGCTTTTAGCAAAACCAGAACAATTTCTATAGATGACTATAGGTTCCACAGGAGGTTCTGAAACATCCCAATTACCCTGATTAATTGTGAACAACTGTGTTCATCAAGTCACCAGGAGAAACAAGAGAGAGCACAACACAGGGAATTATCAGTATTATGGAGAAAATGAAATAATAGAACATGTTTATTTTAATATGTTGGAGATGCGAGACATAAAGAAGATCCATGTCGGATGAATTTAGGAAAAATGAAGCAACATTTAATTGAATAAATATACTTACAGGGAAACCCAGAAAGTAAAAGTATTCAAATATTAAGCAGGCTTTGGTCAAAGGTCTTAGAGTTTCAGGGGCATCTATAAAAAAATACAATGTGATAGGAAGCCAAGTGACATTTGAGATGGCAAGGCTGACTGTGTGAGAGGTGAAAAAGAATCCTAGGGTTACCACCAAGGCAATCCTGAAGAATGGAGACCAACGTTATGACAACGTCCAAAAGCAGATAATCCAGCAGATACTGTATACTGATGGAGTCCATGGATCCTGAGCAAGAAGGAAGCTACCACTTAGCATTTGCAAAATCCCATCTGGACAATCAAGAAGACTTCTGGTCTTGTGTTTTGTGGTCAGACGAATCAAAAATCGAATTATTTAGCTCCACTGGTGGACCCTCTGTTTGGGGTAGAGAAGAAGATGTGTCCTACCCCAAGAACATCATCCCCACAGTCAAGCTTGGTGGTAAATGGCACATGAGGTTTTGGAAAAAAAAACAAAAAAAAACTAAAGATTCTCAACCCCATCCATTGTTTGATGGCAAAGAACGTCTCAACATGACAACGATCCAAACGCCCAGCTAAAGTGCTGATGAACTGGTTAGTCAACAAAAATATTGTTTTGCAGTGACTTAGCCAGAAAACAAAGAAAAAAATATATATTTTAAGCGGTAGAGAGAGCACCATGAGCATGAATTCAAAAATATGGTCCAGCTGTCCCAGATATAACAGCATGTAGAAAACCCTGAAGGCATCCAGAACTTGGCAAAACCATGTAACAGGCTGAGCTGACAGAGCAGTTTGGATTTTGTCAATTAGATTTGCTCATGCTTTTCATGACATTATGGTGATGAACTAAATTAATCATAATGCAGCCCCTAGTCGTGGTGAAATCACTTATTTGAGACCATTTTATTTCTCATTTCAGATCGTCACCGATTACGTCTTTCTGTGTCCGTCCAGGAGGTCGGCGCGTGCCGGAACAGTCGCTGGCGGTCATGTATGGATGTACGTGTTTGACCATGTGGCCTCAGATCGCAGTGTCTGGTCTGGTCTCACATTCTGCTACGAGCACGTCTGCCACGGGGCGGAGCTGCCCTTTCTCTTCGACTCTGCCCCGGTGGCCAACTACTCCCTGACCCTGCCTGAAAAGCTCCTGTCTAACCGGATGCTGTGCTACTGGGGGGCTTTCGCCCACACTGGTGACCCATCGTCAAGGGTTCAGCAGACGGTTTTCTGTCGCGAGCAGCGTCTTCCCGTTTGGCCACGCTATTCCGACACCAGTGGCTGGCTCGTCATGAACTTGACGGTGCGGTTGCATGTGCAAGTCGGAACCAGAAACCATATATGTGACTTCTGGGACCAGCTAGGCATCTACTAGCTGGTTCCAGCTGGTAGAGAGATTAGGTTGGGTCTCAATGAACAGCATTGCCAAATTTTATAACTTATGATAGAAGTCAAGAAACTAAACTTATTCAATGAAGGTGTGCAAACCTATTTTATTGTCTCTTCCGAAGACTTTGACAGTCTTAGAGCAATACATAGAACTTCTAGAAATCAGTACAAATGTGCAGGGACGGCATTCGTGTCATAATGTGTGGAGTGACCTGCTAACTTGACCGTACCATGTTAATGTCAACATACTGTAGGTTGTAGACTAGACAAGTAATTTTATGCAATGACAATAGTAACAATGTAATGATTCTTTCTATGCAATAAAACATAGTCAGAATAAGGCCTGACAAACAAGAAGTTACAGAACTTAAAAAGTTAAATTATTAGACAACAGCTTCTACGTTGTCAATTAGATTTACTCATGCTATTTCCTGTCTATGTCTTCATTTCCTGTTTATCAAAGAATCTGTCTGATATGAAAGAAAATAAACTTTTTAGGATAATTAATGAAACCCAGTGACAGTATCCTGCACCAATCTGTGGTGTCTGATCCTTGACATTTTCCAGAGGGGGATCCTCCAAAGATCAGACCGGAGGACCCTTTGACTTATGATCATGCATCTTTGACATTTGTGCTTTAAGCTAGACCAGTGTTTCCTCTTTTTCACTCAGATAAAACAGACTCCAACACATTTGCCCCGTTCTCACGGAACATCTTTGTTTAATGCCTTCCCCAAGAGGCTGACACCAGCAGATCGGTGGAAAAAAAAAAGAAAAAAGAAAAGACATGATTCATTCATGTGGTTCTGTTGGCATCATCGAACCATGACCTTCCATGTGCACAGGAGTGGTTGATAGTCAGCTGCTCCTAAAATATTCTCTGTATGTCTGGACTGAGAAGTAGGAATGAAGACGGAAATCTTTTCTTCAGAAGAAATCATCCAGGCCTGGCCGTTAAAAAAATTTGACTATTATGCAAAAGTGTAATATTTTTTGCCAGTCATCTCAGGAAGGGCATAGAGCGACATATTCCAAACCTTTGCTTCTTGTCATTTTGATGACTCTCACTCACACTTACAGATAATAAAAGAAAAGCAAAATTCACTGTCACAGAAGACCATGACAGAAGGAGGCAGAGAAAGATGGCTGACCTCTCCTTAACGTTATAAACTGACATTGATGTTTCCCTAAACTCCCTTGTGGATGTTCAGGTTTGACGGAAATACAGAAGTGGGGAGTACCATGCATAGATCCGATGGTTTGTCCGTATATTAGCCAAGAGATTATCCTCTCCCCAGACTTTTGACTGGAAGACTTCTATAAACTCAAGTGTGTCTTTAAAATCCATTTTACTCGTGTTTGTTTTCTGAAGCAACATTTATCTTCTCAAATACTCCAGTGCCTCCAAAAAAAAAAGGACAAACTTTAATCCAAAAGACCTGTTTGTGAGCTAGAAGTGACAGACTTATGGAGAGGGGGAAAAAAGAGAGAGAAATCAAACAGTATTTTTCTCTATAAAAGGAAAATCTTGTTACCCTCAGAGCAACAGCAGGCTATTCCCTCTTTACCAGCTGACTGTGTTTGGAAATCAAATATTCTCTTTGCATGAAAGAGAAAACTTTAGATGTTTAGAAGTTTTGACAGTACTGGGCTACATTACAGCTTCCCAGACTTGGATTTTTCTTTTTTAATCGGGTAATTAATGAAGAAAAAAAAGAAAAAAATCTTGATCTTTGTATGGCTTTGATTTGAACGCTGTCTTTGGGCGTTTTTTTTTTTTTTCCCCCTCCGTCTTTCCAATTCCCTTCACACACAGACCAACACGGCAACGTTGCGGTCCGCGCTTATCCAGAATTGGCAGAGCGTGCCCACTACTTGTCAGGAGGTATTGCTGATGTCAAAAAGACCTTCATTCGCACAGCTTTTTGTTTGCTGCAGAGAAAACACAGCGAGGGGGCCCCTCTGGGGAAATAACACACTATCTACAAATCCCACGTAATGTCAATAGTTCCACACCACTATGTTCATTCATGTGTTGGGCCTTCAGAGTTGGGCAGCGGGGGCACCTGTCAAAACATCTTGACAAGGTAATGGAAACAACCCGCATGTTAACTCGCTCTGAAATAATGCAATCCTAACCTGATGGAGTCAATAAGCACGCCGTCAGGAGACGCACCAGGCGTCTCCTGACATAGGCGGCCATGTTGGATGCCCACAGCCAGCCTGGAGACAGGTATTTAATCGGCTACACCGTCTTAGAAGGACGCGGCATGTGTTAGCTGCACCCAGCTACATCCTTTATGGAGTCTTCAAACAGATGGGATGACAGATGTTGCTGTCAATCACAGGTTCACTCAGTTTCTGTCGTTACTTGTTGCAGCGATTTTTTTTTTTTTTTTTTATGTTTTCTTCCCCCTCTGGTTAACACTGAATCAGACTAAACATGTTCTTGTTTTAGGTCAGTTAGGATTACCAGATTTATTCCCATTAACTAAATGGCACAATAGTGTTCACATACATTTCTTTAGTAGTTGGAACAATTGCTTTAAAGGGCAATATTGTGTAATTTCTAGCACAATCAAGTAACTATGTTACCTTCAGTTGGTTGTTATAAAAATGCTGTATATATTGAATATAGTTTGACAAAAGTTTGACTGTAATTTAACGCCTTGAAATTGAGCTAGGGTTAGGGTTAATTACCTTCATTTTAGGAGCTTACAAAGGCATTTTTGTCCACTAGGGTAAAATCATAGTAATCTCAGATATGGGTATGTTTATTGTATCATTTATCATTTATTGTGATAAATTTCTTGTCTTGATAGAATTTCAATAAGCAATAATCTCCCATTATTCTGGAAACCAACAAATGAGATGGTTTCCATCAAAGGCATCAAACCTCTCCCATGGAGAGCCTCTGGACATACATTGCACCCCACTTCAGTGACGGCCTCAGATATATCAAAGAAGCTTTTGGGCATCCCAGATTATCAGATTATCTTCTAATATTCCATCAAAGGGAATACTAAATCAGTTATCGACGAAAACGATACACTTTCATGTGAGATACACTGATGCAAATAAAACAGAAGTGTAGCACATAATGATAAAAAAATCTTATTCCTCACTTGTTTTTTTTATCTTTGGAGATGGAAGCAGCTTGTACGGTGTCTAACTCCACTGCTACTGGTTCGTCTTTGGTCTTTTATAATTATGACTTTGGGCCCCAACTCTGTTCCGACAGGAACTAGAACATTGGTTTTATTGTTTTGTAATGATTAAAGGCAGAATTATTCTCTGCACATAATGCTTTTATGGTAATTAAATGTGTAGCCTTGTGCACCAATCAGACCTTTGTAGAAGTTTGAGTGTAAGGGGAATTGTGTTAGCTTTATGGCCTTTCATGTGAGATACACTGATGCAAATAAAACAGAAATATAACACATAAAGATAAAAAATTCTTATTCCTCACTTGTTCATTCTGTTCATGTAAAAGCCATTGTAAGGGCTGTAGCACAACTCGCTGTTTCAAGAAGTTAGAAAAGTAGCCAACTGAAATTTTCATGGGTTTTTGCTGGTCTTGGTTGAAAAGCTGTTTATAGATTTTCTTCCACATGGTTAACACTTTGGTACGTTATTGTTGCATTGGCTATTTTGAGTCGCTTTTAGAGTTGCTAAAGAAATCCACAGCAGTTCCAGCACAGGTTCTTTAAGCAGTCGTGTGCTGCCTTTGTTTGAGGGGAAGCTACTGACATATCCAGGTTTACAAAGTATTTCATCCTTTGTAAATCAATGCTGCAGTCTCAAACAATGTTTTCTTTTGAGCCGATCTACAGGAGTCCACATTGATTTTAAGTTTTTTTGTGATGCAGAGTTCTCACCCTTCAGTTTAAGAACAGGCGAATGGCATTAATAAATATGTGTAGAATGTTTCTGTACCTCTTAGCGGTTGTTTCTTCATTGTTTTATCTGGTGATTTTCACCTTTTCTTCTCTCCGTTCTGATTTAAAAGACAGAACAGTTAATGGATCCTGTTGTAAACATCAGTCGCTGAAGGGTCACTCTTTGTTTTTTGGGGGGTTTTGCATAGATTCTTTTTTGCATCAGCAATCGGAGCCAATCCTGTAACTTCACTTACTGACAGTTAAGTAATCAGTTTAAAGTCCCTGCTGTCTTCCTTTCAGAGGATTTAATGACGTCGCAGAGAAATTTCTATTCTGTTAATATTGATTTGAGCCCATCAATCTGGAACTAAGACTAAAGACACAACCCTACAAATCCATAGTCATTAAAGTAGTTGTGTAAATGTGCTGTTTTGATCTGAAACAACTGTTTTGACTTGGAGATAAAATGATGCAATTGGTACATTTGGAGTTATGGGTCCTTCGGAAAAAAAAAAAAAAAAGTGGATTTTATGTGATGGACCTTGACATGAATTTCAAAATGTTGTGGACGGGATTTGAATTCAGCCCTTTTGGCCACAGAAAGGTCACGCCAGCAGGTTGGTAGTATCTCAGATATTTAAACAAATAAAAAATTACATATTAGTCTCAGATCTGTTCTCCTCTGCTCCAACAACACTGAAATCCGATGCGCGACTTGTTCAACCTTTTTTTTTTTTATACACACCTGTAGTGTTCGTTGATGCCTCACTGTGACCCTCCATGAAATACGAGCCACATCCAGAAATTTGAAGTCCGCCAATACATGTGGTTGCCATGGAAATCACAACACTCAAAGGTTGCAGAGAAGCCTTTGTTTTATCAAATGGCTACAAGGAATAACATAATGCACAAAGGCGTCTAGCTGGAGGGGGCGTTCAGTCGGGTTTTGATTTATCCCTCCTGCGCACTCTTGATTTGTGTTTATTTTTCTTAAATTGCTCCAAAAAAATGTGGTTGTTGTGCATCTTTTTTCCAGGGGAATGTCCTTTTCAAGGACACAGCGGGGGATTTCATTACCTACAAATGTTGCAATATTGGAGAAATACATGAAAAAGACAGCTGCCCTGGGCTCCCTGCATAAATCTGTGCTTAAAAGCTTCAAAACCCTGAAAAAGAGTGAAAAAAACTGCTTTTTTTTTCTTTCTTTTTTTTTTACTTGCCTGTCAACAAGTCCTTTGTCGTTCTTCGGCGAATAAAAAAAAAAGAGCAGTGGCTTTTGTTTGGCAGCAAAGCGTTTGTCTTTTCGTTATCTGAGAAAGACCATAAAAGCTTTATTCAAGTGAGAAAATAGCAGCCTCTTATGAAGTCTTTGTTAATTTTCAATGGATCTTTTTAAATGTCTCCTCTTCTTCACCCCCCACCCACCCCTTTCATTAGACTTGCACGTTTTTTGTTGTTTTTTTCCCCCCAAGGCATAATTACTACTACAGTCTGGAGAATGAAAATAAAGAAACGATTTGGAAGTTTGAGGGTGAAAATCGCTGAGATAAGTTTGGAAATGGTGACATTTTAACAGAGTGCACATGTTGCTCAAACCTGATTGAAAGTTGCCCGACAATATTAGTTTCCAACAATGAGATGAGATTAGATTTTAGCAAGATTTTTGGGGAACAGAAAAGGAAACCTGGTTTTCATTTTTTTCCTTTTAAAAAAAAAAAATTTAAACAAATAATTTTTGAAATAATTTGTAGATTTATAAAGAATTTTATTATGCTAATGATAACCATGCATTAGTCACTTTATTAGCTTCAAGTCCAATGGAAGTTAATTTGATCCGAGCTCCAGTCATTGGTGTGAAAGTCCAAGTCATGTCTTTTGTGAGCCGAGTCAAAGGTCAAACAAACTCGTGACTGAAGTCTGACTCGATTCCAAGTCGCATGACTCAAATTCACGCCTCTGACAAAAACTGTGAAATAGCTGTTAGCTGAGCGCCGATAAAAAGCTTCAGAGGAGGCTGCGACTTTAGCGGCCCCACGTGGGTTTTTTTTTTTTTTTTCTACAAAATGAAAAAACACAAAGTGTTTAAAGATATAAAGTAGTCTTCGCTGAAGCAAAACTAAAGCTTTGACTAACGCGCAGGGACACCAACATAATCCCAATCGGAAGCAGTTTTACCTTTCCTGAGGTTCAATAGACATCTGATTGCCCGGGTGCAGAGACAAAACGCTTCATTCAGAAGGCCAGAAGACACGCCTCCTCCGACCTCGAGCTACGGCTGTCTGTCACACTCAGGTGTTCTTAATCAAGTCCCGGAAGTTCCTCAGTTTTATGGTTTTTAATCGCTGTAATTTTGTTCCCAACATGGACATGTTCAGCTCCTGGTGAAAACCTTGATGCAACAAACACATCAGTTTGTTTAAATGGCATTTGAAGTGATGTGTGGCTGTTTTATGGAAGTTTATTGTTTTTGTTTTTAGACCTCTTTAACCAGTGGCGATATGGTCAACATGGGCTGTTGCTCAGAGTAGCTTTACATTTAAAAAAAGCCTGATTAATTTTTACAGGAAGAGGTGCATTTGCACCAATTAAAAAAGAAAAAACATCTTATTAATTCAATTCAGAATATATTTTAAATACTTTTTTGATAAGTAAAAGTTATTTTGAAACTAAATATTTAGTTAGCAAGCTAAATATTTAAATTGCTAACTAAATATTTAGCTTACAGTTAAATACTTTATGTATATAAAATATAACTAAAGCAAACCAAATATTTAGCTTGGGGCTAATTATTAAGCTTGCTAACTAAATATTTAGCTCCAAGCAAAATAAACTAATAACACAGCATTCATGATGAACGGCCATTTTTTCCCTCATACTGCATGGTTAATAACTCAGACTACTGATGCCAATTTTTGACTGTGTAACTTCACTAGCGGCTCCCCACATGTTTCTGATGCAGAGCCACATCTAATGTGAGCTCCGTTGATTTCGCACCAAATTAACAACCCGGTTCATTTATGAACAATAAGATATTTAAATTTAGAGTCTTACTCTTCATGAAGACATGTAAACCACCCAATCAGAGACACGATCAGTTACATATTTTTCTTTTTTGTCATGCTAACTCGATTTATGGCTTGCTTATAGACTCTGTGCCTTTGTCCGCTTAAACTTCTACAAGCTACTTACAAGGCAGGATGGGAGGCTGAATACAAATGCGCCCGTTTCTAATCATCTTTTGTACACCATTTGAACATTGTGTTGGTTTATCTGATGAAAATCCCACTAAAATACACGCATGTTTGTGTTTGTAAAAGAGCGAAATGTGAACAGCCTTTGCCAGGCACCTCAGGCCCATCAATCTCTGCCGCCTCAACAGCTAAATTGAATCCTTAGATGTGAAGGGAGCTAAATTAGACATAAAAATGCAGAAACTTGATTCCCGTCCCCCCCCGAATATGACAGATTTATTTCTGTCGCGATAAATCAAGATGATGCAGACAGAAGTCGGGCCTCTTGCTCCATGGTGTACAACAGAGATCAGCTCAAATTAAACACAAGACATCTGCCTTGGCCGTAGCGCCGCTGAAATGCTAATGTTTGGGCCCCATTCATAAAAATGATTGATATGGATTAAGACAGGGATCAATACCCACTTCCTGGGTTATATGTGGCACTCAGATAGTCACTGGCACATTGGATTTGGGTTATTTAATCAACGAAAAACTGCTCTTTCATTCTGTTGAACACAGTGAGGCGGACAATCCTGAAAATGTGCAGATTTAATCGAATCTTCCTGAAACGGAGGCGAGAATAATCGCAGATAACCAGTGATTCTCACATGCAGCTGACTTTCAGCGACAGCTGCTGCCGACACTTTGAGGCACTGCTACGCGCACGGCGCTTGGGTTTTTAATTAACCAGAGCCACACCGAAACGCACCGGGCATTCTCACCCCGGGTTGAAAACACTCCAACCCCCACATCGGCCAGGCAAGACTGATGCAATTCATGCAATTTTATGATCGGCTGAAGGCAATTACCGGACCTGTCAGTGTTTGGGACGTCCTTTGTCTGTGATGTATGCACTGTGCAGACTCAGCCCCGCTCCGTTTCTCTCTCTGCAACTCACAAGCACACTCACTCGCTAATTTAAGGTAAATATTGGC